GGGCCGTGGGAAGATGTCGCGCCATGTCACGTCAATTTTTGAGTATTTTGACGGCAGCAAGACGCGCGTCGACTGCTCCTCCGTGCCCCACTCCCCTCCCCTAGCGCCCACCCTCGTGGTTGTGTGCACGGGGACTGGGAATGGACAGAGGACCGCGGGCAGGTACTCTCAGCCCTTTCTGCCCATGATTTCTTGTGGGCGTTGCCTCGCTCTTGAATTTCCGGCATAAACCTCCGGAAATGCGGGAAATGCACAGAATATGGCCGGCGGCCCCTGAAAAAGCCCAGGACCTGGCACGTTCCTTCGAACGGACCCACACGAGTGAAGAAAAAGTTTCGAGGCCAACGGAGCAACGGGCCCGCGCCCCCTTCACAAACCGAGCGCAACGCCGCTCGAAAGTTAGATACTTTGTGGTCACGGCTTAGATCTTGACTTTCTGTCCTAATACCTTATGAAAAAACATATGTAACTTTTAAAAAGTTAGAATTACCAGGTTGGTACATCATAGTTTGCCGAGTACCTTCCGTCGGGGTCTCGGAAAAAGTTGCCCACCGTCACAGGGCCGTCAGCTGCAAATGGCCATGCCACGTGGCTCCTATTTGCTGAGTGCCTTTGACTAGGTTCACGACATACTATTCATAAGCTGAGTTTCTTTATGTTTGCCGAGTACGTTCTGGGCGGGGCTCAGTAGTGCTTCCCATGTGCCATGTCATGCTGCTTGCTGATTGTTTTTTTTAAAGATCCAACATCGCTGGCATTCATTGATAATAGCAGGAAGCAACGGAAAACAACAAGGTGGTGAAGGTCCTAGGACCAGAGGATCCGAAGATCAAAGACAAAAAGAAAAACAGCAGCCCTAATAGCTGCAACACAACACTCCACACAAATCATATTAGGCAGCGCAGCTCCGACTCCGACGATGAACTACTAAGAAACTGGGCAGGAGTGGCGTCACGGAGAATCACCGAACGAACCACCTGTCACGCGTCATCGTCTACCACCGGCCCCCCACCGCGGCTTCGACTTCACAACAACAGACAGTCGAGGCACTCTCTCGGACACGCCGGAGAAGAAGAGCCGACTACCACGACCAGGGCCACACCTCTAGTATTGCTCACACCGCCATCGTTGCCACAGAAGCCATCGTGCAGGTCCAGCCATAGGAAGCACCACAGGGATCAAAGGCATCAAGACGACGCCCTAAACAGGGGAACAACGTCGAAGACGACGCTACCGCCCGACCCTGTAGCAGGATCTGGGTTTTCACCCGAAGTACTTGATCCAGGAGATCTGGCTGTGAGACTCCCGACGACGCCTCCAAGGAGGATAGCGACGCCCACAGGCACCGTCGCCGCCGGCCGGCCAGCACCGGCCAGGCTTTCACCCCGGACAGCCACTCCCACGCAGCAGGCCGAGGACGACCCGTGCCTCCATTGGGTCGTGCACCCCACACACAGCAAGCACGCCATTGCTGTGCAGGGCCACCACCAAACCTCCCCGACGACGGGCCTGCAGAGACCCGAACGGGTCCTGCACCCCGCATCCAAACCACGGCCGGAGCCTCTTTGCTCCAGCACCGCCCGCGCTCACGAACTGGCTGTGGTCACCACGCGCCACCATGCCAGATCCACGCTGCCTAGAGCCTTCCCACCCCGCACGCCTCCTACGCGCTAGATCCGGGCGTCCCGGCGCCCCACGCACGCCTCCCGCGACCTGCACGCCGCAGATCCGCGCGGGAGCAACGCCAGAGCACCATCCGCACGCGGCACCCCGATCTGGCCGCCGTGCCATGTCGCAGCCACTCCCTGCAGACGAGCACCTCCGCGGGCCAGCCCGTGCCCGTCGCCTCCATCGGCGCCAGCTCGCCGCGCCCTCTGCAGATGAGCGCTCCCGCTCCTCGCCCACCAGCCCGCAGATCGGGGACAGGCCGGCTAGACCAGATCCCCCCCCCCGGGCCGAAGCCACGCCGACGCCCAGCTACCGCGCTACACCAGCGGAGCACCTACTGCTCGTCGGATCCGCCGCCGTACGCTGCATCCCCGACCACCAGCGCGCCGGATCTGCAAGAGCCCCCCACACCAGCCGCCATGAACACTCCACGCGCTGGCTTCCCGCACCACCCGCCTGGGCTAGAGAGAGAACGCCTCGCCGCCACCCTCCTCGAAAGCGCAGCGAGATTTCCCGTCAGCCTCCTCAGGTGACGGCGAGGGGAAGAGATGGTGGGAGGGGAACCGGCGGCGGCTGGCTTACGGTGCCACCCGAGCCGCCCCAAGAGGAGCGACGCGGGGGCTTGCGTGAAGATTGTCATACTCGGCTTTGGGAGCTTTTACCGTGATCCCGTGTTTCATTACTTGGCGAAGAGGAAAGAACTCAGTAACAGCCATTTTTCCAGTAGTGCAAAGGGATCAAATTTGACAGATACTCCCTCCGTTCCAAATTACTTGTCGCTGGTATGGATGTATTTAGATGTATTTTAGTTCTAGATACATCCATTTCTGCGACGAGTAATTTGGAACGGAGGGAGTACATGATTATATTTGGTGAATTGCCGAACATATATTAGATTCTGGACAAGATTAGGTGCAACTAGGACACTGTTAAGCATTTCGGGTTTGCTAGAGGTAGTAATGATCGAGTGGCCAACAGACGTGACCGGGGAATTGAAGAACCATTTGCAACAATAATTGAAGGAAGAGATGAAATGGAATGGGCAGAAGACAACATTCCAAATGTGCAGTTGCCCCAATGTCGAAACTCTAGCCATCGCCTTGCTGAGTGTTCATGGCCTGCAAGAAAGCAACTTGGTCGCGTGAAGGAGCAGGAGCTGGTCTCGGTGGTGCTTGAGGAGACGCCTGGAGGTGTTGAACCGGAGCGTACTGAGCCGTCATCGACGCATATAGTGCAACCGCGGGCGAAGCAGCGCCGTAGATGACTTGTGGCTGGTGCAGAGGGGCGAAGGAGTGGTGACGGCCTGACGGGGCGAGGACAGAAAGGGGCGGCTGCCACGGTACATCCATCGCTGAGAGAGCCATTCAGGGCCCATGGAACCGGCCAGTCCCTGGACAAGGCATGTCCATGGGTCGGCCTGCGGACGCCAACTCGGAGCAGGTGGAGACGTCGGGGCCGTGGTCGATCCGTCGATGTAGAGCCACCGGCGGTGGCCGATGACCGCTGCTGGTAGTCTACTGTCTCTTGCGTATTCGCACTACTAGAGACATGAGTTTTAGCCACCAAGGTGATCGGTTGCTAAAGGTACAAAATTGGTGGCTAGTGGTCTATTGGTACCAACACTACTTGGTCGCTTCGTGGTGGCTATAGTCTAGTCGCTATAGATATTGAGCGACCAACATTGAGAACCCTGGTCACTAAATGTCATACCAATAGCTACCAACCAAATCTGGTGACTAATGGCATCTAGGGACCAAGGGAGACTTGGTGACTGATGACATCTAGAGACCATGGACGACTTGGTTGCTAAAAATGTACAACAACCATGTACATGGTTAGTGGCTAGAGATATCAAGTGACCAGCCAAGGCTTGGTGACTAAAAGAATGTAGAGACCAACTACATGTTGGAGACTAGACATCTTTTGTAACCAAAAAATTGTAAACCTTGGTAACTACAGGCATGAGAAAGCAACTATATCATAGGTACAATATATTGTCACACGCTGACATTTGCAGTATGCAAGAAATCTCAGAATTTTAGACATTTGGCAGTTCAGAATCAACATTCAGAAGTTCAGAATCAACATTTGTAAACTTATGATCCAAACATTACATGCTAAACTGAATTTTGTTTTGCAAGTAGGAAATACCACTCTAGCATTTGCAAAGTACAGTACCACGTTTAGTACTGATCTGAACATATGATCCAATCAGTAAACCCCAATATGATCCAAACATTACATTTAGCATTTGTACACTGAATTTTCTTTAGATCCAACTAGTTTTCTCTTCTCAGTCTTTAACGCGAGTATTGCTTTCCGCTGCTCCTCCAAGGTCATCTCCTATATAATGGTGGCCAGAGCACATGTTATTTCATTAACAACACCAGACATAACAAACATCAGAAAGAGTGCAAGCATGCCAATAAACTAAGCTAGAGACACCAAATTGCCAGTCACTTGATCAACTTTGCCGTAGCTCAGAAGCTCAACAACATCACAGGAAGAAAAACTGCACACATACACAGGAAATACATTTGTACGTAGCTAACTCTGAATCACCTACCTACTTTGCCACCTACCTACTTTTAATTTCTACTATACATTTGTACATAGCTAACTCTGAATCACATTATTCTCCAACTCCCATGGGTCAGAAACCAATAACTATCCAATTGTCCACCAAGAGACGTCGCTGGATAATGAACTAACAAATCGTGTGAAACCAACATTAAGGAACATGGTCAGGTCAGGTCTAGCAAAAGTAAACAGACTGCATACGTGATTACATCCAAGACTTGAGCTAATCTACGTACACTTAATATTATCAGCGTCGCAGCAAACTAATCAAATAAAAATGAGCGCATTAAATTAACTTAAACTGGTGTTAATAACCAGAGTGCATGGGTGGTGGCAGAACTCGACTAAGCGAGAGTAAATGTGGTCAAGAGAATTCAGTCAGATAAGTAGATTGATCTGGCATTTTGAAGAAGCAACGGGGTGGATCTAGGTGCACCGGCACACCCAAAAATTCAGAGGCCAGTAGTGTTTAAGGCTAGCTAATCGTCAATGAAGAAATGGCAAGTTAACTAGTGCCAAGCCGTGTCATTCGCCCAAGACGAGAAAGACAAGCTTGTGCCGGGGATTAACTAATAGAATGACTAGGTAAGGCAGAGAATTAATCGGCAATGCAATGTGCCTTTCTTGAGATGTGGTAGCAGGCACGAAAAGCAGGGAAAGTGCAGCATTGAATCGTGTCGGCCAGGGGAAAGCACTGCAGGAGCGTGTTTGGTTGGTGAGGTAAACAACATAAAATAAAGCTAGCAACCTGATCATGAATACCTGGACCCTCCATCCGACACCAGAGAGCCTGTGATTCACAAATTTGGACCATCAAGATTAAGATCATGAAGAAATTTGCCAAATCACATAGTATTTTGATTGTTTGAAGGAGAGGCAAACTGACCATACCATTGCCATCAGAAGAAGAAGTTGGAGCAGGTCTATATCCTGGCCTCAAATGACTGTTGAAAATGTATACATGTATTACTAGCTATACATTGGAATTTGTAAGTCCATATATTCATGATGAGTATCTTCATTTTCTGTTACAGAATTATTAGCAAGAACTATCTTGATTAGAAGATCTCGATACCAAGTACACTGCTATATCTAAGCAAGCTGCAGGTGTAGGAGGCATCATCTAAAATACCAGAGCATGGGAAAAATAACATTACCTTGCAAATGATCTTGGAAAACTTGACATCCTTTCTACAGTGTTAGATATCAGCGAACCTGTGGCAGAAATTGGAATGCTTTATAAAAGGCAATATGCTACATGTATTTTCAGTGAATAAAAAATGCCAAAAATAGTTGAGATTGATGTGTTGCATACCTATTCCGTCAGATGGCATTGGCCACTCAGTTGTGAAACCTAGCCCTGTTGCACTAGTGCCGTCCATAGGAGGTGAAATGCCAACCAAGTTAGACACGACACTTTGTAGCCAATCGATCTTCTTCTGTTGAGCTTCAAGTTGAGATTGTTGAGCCTCAATTTGAGTTTGCTGCGTAGCAACAATCTCCATTGTAGAGGCCAATTCTTCCACTACATGCTGAGTTGAGCTTGATGCGCTTGAGTAAGCCCTTCTATTTGGTTTTGGTCCATGACCCCGACCTCTGACGTAACCCTATGCCTTACCTAGCACATGCTCGCAAATCTGTTGCTCTGTTAAAGGTACTTCACCCTCCTCTATAGGTTCCTTTTGCTTCTGCAACATTTCTTCCTGCATTAATAATTATTTGTACCTATATCATGCACATCTTCCTAATAATAGTGCATCATCTAGTTCTGCCATCACTACTACTTAAAAGTACAAGAACCATTTCTTGCTCTCTAGTTCTCATTTGTATCTAAGTATTCCCATTGCTTAATCTCTCTCAACAAAAATTAATTTGTTACATGGTACTTACATGTTTATTCCTGGCATCTTCTGATGCCCATCCCTTCTTATCACTAGAGTAACACTCCTTGTATAGTCTGATATCGCCACAATTCTGATAATACAAGATTCAAAGTCAAAAGACATGAATATAATAAGACAGCTACAAGTTTTGATATTCTGCTTTCACCACAATTGTGACACACGATAAAGATAAGTAATAGTGACTTACTAATTCATGTTGAACCGCTACAAATGACTTTGTTCCCTTCTTGTGAACATAAGGTAGGTTTGAGCGGTTAGCCTTCCCAATTGTGGACCATTTCTGCATATGGTAGTTTTTTGTAAACAAATAAGGCAGGGTCAAGTGATAAGATAGATGCAAAACTGTTGACATCCATTCAAAGACTACCATACCTTAAATTCTTCTGTTTCAAAATGATCACAGAGCCAAATCCAGTCTCCAACTCTATTATCAATAAGGGGAGGATATGGATTGCTTCTAGCATCATCACCAGATTTTACATAATGTTCATAACACTTGTGACGGAAACTTTTGTAGCTTGAAGAGAATAGCAGATCCACACAGCCTTTGATATGATCTTGGGTGAAATCAAGATTGAACTTAAGCTACGAAGAAAGAACTCAAAGTTAAAACTATACATATTCTAAGTTAGAAAGTTTGATAATCTTACATACCTTTAGAAGTTCATACAACGGCTCCTTATCATCCTCAGTCAGACTATGCCACCCGGCACGTTGGAATGGTGCATGGTACCGTGTAAGAAGTCCAATCTCTCTGGAAAGTAATTCATTATTTTCTCCAATAGGTCTTCTCTCTTCGGAGATGGTCAAGTTTAGTGGATGACCTGCCCTTTTGATCAAACGCTCCAAGCCCTTTCCCTTATTTATCCCACGTACCTTCCTGGATTTTGATGCTGAGGTACTCCCAGAATGTTGACCTTGAGATTGCGGGGCATTTCTTGGTGGCCGGACTGTTCGTCCAGGTCCCATCTGCCATAGAATTAAAAGAATGGAACAATACCCAGATTGTTTATATTAGGAAGATAGGGAAATCAGATTTGCTACGTCAACAGAAATAAACCACGAGTTACATAGTAATTAGATATATTGTGGCAACATAAATAAATCATAAGTATCAATAATAATTCGAAATAACCTGAGACAGGACATATATAGTCTAATATAACCTAAAACAAGATACATATAGTCTGATATAACCTGAAACAGGATACATATAGTCTGATATACACTGAAATAGAACACCATTATTCTAATATAACCTGACACGGGACACATGTAGTCTAACATAACCTGAAATATGAGACATATAACCCGATACAACACATAATTATTCTACTACTCTGGTTCCTCTTCAGAATTATCCTGAGAGACATGGCTCTCCTTCAAAGATGCCAACTCTTTTGGATCAGTAACAATTTCTGGTGCAACATCATGTCGACACGAGATATTGCCTTCAAAAGTTTCATCTATGGAAACATTGGTAGCTTCCTCCTCTTGAAATGCAATATCATCGCTAGCATCATCTTCATTGACTTGATTCCAAACCTCTGGATCAAAAAGATGGCGATGCGGAGCCTTCTGCACAACTAGCCAATCTCCCTTCAATTTTGTATCACGTACACAGAAGACTTGGCTCACTTGACTAGCTAGTACAAAGGAGTCATTTTGGTACCACTTGCTTCCTGTATTAACACTAACAAAGTCGTCATCGATCCTCACAGGCTTGTTACTCTCTAAATCATACCATTCACACTCAAATAAAGCAACATGTCGATCATTGGGGTAATCCAGGACATATATATTTTTAAGAATACCATAATATGTGATATTTTGCCCCTTATGTTGTCCCTCTGTGCATACACCACTGTTCTGACTTTTACGACCCTCTTCACGCTCCTTTGTCAAGAATCTAACACCACCAGCAATGCATCCTGAGAATCTGTGTACTCTCTTATGCGGTCCAATTGCCAATGCATACAAACAGTCAGACACTAGGGATGCTCCTTGGTTGCGCAGATTGATCACCTAAATTCCACAAGTAATGCATGTTAACTCATGGAAGCCATTGCCTGGATTGTTCTAGCATGATTGGCGAAGCCATTGCAAGTTAACTCAAGTAATAGCATGGACTTACTCTTTGGCGCAGCCATGAACCAAACTGTTCACGTTGCCTATTTTCAATATTATCTGCACCTTCAACCAGTAGGGCATCCTCATGCTCACTAGAAAGAAATGTCGAGGGATGAGTTTCTAACTAGTTGAGGATGTATAATTATAACTTAAAGTTTATAACATGTATACTTACTATAGGTATTCTTGTAGTTCCTCACAATTATTTAGCACATACCAAGACAAAGAATCATACTGATCTTGTGTTAACATAAGGTCATCCCTATGGCCAAAAGCACGGAAACTAGTTGAGAATACCGAGAAACGATCAAGTGGTTGTCTCTCCCCATCAAAGTTCCGCTCTTGTCTATTGAACCTTGTCTCAATTCCATGTAGATACATGGAGCAGAATGTTGAGCACTCCTTCATAACACAAGCTTCAGCAATTGAACCCTCTGGGTGTGCCCTATTGCTCACCATGCCTTTCAAAGTACCAAGGAACCTGCAGCCCAAATTTTCTTACTACAACACATTTTTACACACTAATAGAACTGTAAAGGGTGGAAGGACTAATGTTATGAAGAACAAGCTACCTTTCAACGAAGAACATCCATCTGTATTGTACAGGACCTCCAAGCCTTGCTTGTTGTGGTAGATGCACTGCTAAGTGCACGCTGATATCAAAGAATGCAGGTGGGAGAATCATTTCTAGTTTGCACAACACAATTACTATTTGTTGTTCCAACTTATCCAAGATATCCAGCTTCAATGTCTTGGAGCATAATTGGCGAAAAAAACTACCAAGCTGCAGAAGTGCATCACATATATCTTTGTGCAGAAATCCTCGCATTCCAATCGGGAGTATTCTCTGAAGAAGAATATGGTAGTCGTGTGTCTTCAACCCAGTTATTTTCCCATCTTTACTTATACCTTTTGATATATTTGCAGCAAATCCATCTGGGAAGCAAATAGATTCTAGGAATTGCAGAAACTCAAGTTTCTCATCTCTGGTTAATGTGTACCATGCATGATGCTTTTCTACGCTACTTCTCGTATCATTCAAGTGTAGATCTTCTCTGATATTCATGTCTTCTAAGTCCTTGCGGGCCTTAAGTGTGTCCTTGGACTTGCCATCTATGTTTAATAAAGTCCCGAATAAGCTCTCACAAATGTTCTTTTCAATGTGCATGACATCAAGATTGTGTGGCAATTTCATATCCTTCCAATATGGTAGCTCAAACAAGATGCTCATCTTTGTGAAATTTTTCCCTGGCATGTCCTTTGAAGATGCCTTTCTTTTCTTATTTCCAGGGTGTTTTCCGTATTTGAAGCCCTGGAGATGATCTAACTTCTGCAACAATTCAAAAATGTCTTTCCCAGATAGTTGTTTTGGTGGCAACGCTTTCTCATTCTTACCATTGAAGGCCTTACTTTTGCGCCACCTATGGCGAATAGGCAAGTACCTCCTATGGCCTAAGAAACCAATTTTGCTTCGAAGTGGTTGCGAATAGGTTCCATCTAGGCAAACAGGGGCATGCCTTGTAGCCCATTGTAGAATACCCAAATACTGAACCTAGTGCTGGAAGGTCGTGGATAGTCCATAGCAATATTGCACGCATATTGAAAGTACCTCCTTCAACAGCGTCAAAAGTAACAACTCCTGGATTAAATAATTGCTTTAGTTCTTCAACCAATGGCCTCAAATACACATCAATGTCCCTTCCCGGTGACTTCTTCCCAGGGATCAATAATGTCATGAGCAGGAAGGGCTCTTTCATGCTTCTCCATGGAGGCAAGTTATACACAACTACAATGACAGGCCACACACTATATGAGCTACTCATAATTCCAAATGGGTTGAAACCATCGGTGCCAACCCCGAGCCGCAAATGGCGAGGGTCTTCTTCCAGCCAGGGATATTTCTTATCCATATGTTTCCAAGCATCGCCATCCGGAGGACCCGTCAACACATTTGGTTCGACAACTCTCTTATCCCTATGATAACGCAAATCTGAAGCTATTTCCTTGTTCATGAACAGCCATTGTAATCTAGGGATTAAGGGAAAGTAGCACAACACTTTCTGAGGTACTTGCTTCCCCTTTCCCTTCTGTGTCTTCCACCTCGATTCCTTACAAACTGGGCACTCATCCTTGTCCTCATGCTCCTTCCAGAATAGAACACAATCATTTTTGCAAGCATCAATACTTTCATAACCTAGCCCTAGATCTCTCAACATCTTCTTTGCTTCATAGTACGTGGCTGGAAGCGAGTTACCAGCTGGCAAAGCCTCCTTTTGAAGCTTGAGTAACATGTCAAAAGATTTGTTGCTCCAATGGTTAAGATCTTTGAGGTGTACCAGCTTTAAAACAAAGGATAGCACCGAGTGGCCTTTGCAGCCCGGGTATAGCTCACGTTGTGCACTTCTCAGCAAGCCGTCAAATCTGGTCGATGACTCATTGGGCTCCGGAATGCTACCTCCAGCAGGATTATGGTTCTCTTGCTCGTCAACCCCAACCGTGGCTCTATGGATATCTCCTAGCAGATCTTGGACCATATCAAATCCATCAAAATCATCAAGATCTTCCTCATTTTCAAGTGACTCATCAACTTGGTCTTCATCATTGCTAACTTGTTCTCCATGGAATATCCATTTTGTGTATGAAGTTTGTATACCATACAATAACAAATGGGTTCGAACTTGACTGACACTCTGCTGACTTATATTCATACAAGTTTCACAAGGGCAACGCATCTTATCATTGCCGTTGTTATGTTGACAAGCAAAATCAATGAATGCATTCACCCCTGAAATGTAATCACTTGAAAACCTATCAGGCAACCTCATCCAACTCTTATCCATACTATATCTTTTCCTGCACAAGCACTCTACAAGTGAACCAAAGTACTAGAAATGTAAAATATAACAACATAACCACATTAGCTACAAATCATTATATCTGCCGGTAAACACCTCAATCACGAAAGGAATCAGGCTAGATATGTCAATCATTTTCAACCAGTCCACCCGACATGATAAACTAATTGATCTACTGAATTTCGGTTAAATCAGGCTTATATTTATCAAAATAACAATCCTACAGTACCCCATATATATGTCACATTGCCACTGTATTTTCAAAAGAAAACTTGCACTTTATCAAACTAAACACGCAGCTTGCTTATGTAATTATTTTATATGTAGTAACATTATACTAAAATATAATATCACAACAACAGCAGCCATGGAACTCTATAATTTTATACTAGAATTGTATACAAAGACAGTCTTCAAATATTATACTACAACATTATACAAAGACAGTCTTCACAGAACAGTATTTGAAGATAGTCATCACAGAACTGCATATCCTTTCTAAACATTGTACTACTAACATATACTACAAGTCCTGATGTTGTAAGTATCAATATGCAGTAACATTATGCTGTATATTTTACTACAAGCAAAACCAAGACTATATGTATATTATGGCCCGGTTGGGCACGGCAGTATTGCCATTATTCTACTACTCTGGTTTTGAAGAGGATAATCTAACTCTCAGGATAATCTAACTCTCAGTATTGCCATTATTCTACACAACACATCAACCGGACCAAGCCAATATTGACATTATATTCAAATCACACAACCGAACTCTACATGGTAGGCCAAGCCAGTTTCCAAATCACAAACGGTAAGCTACATGTATATTTTACTTACACATTTCCACAAACACTTGAAGTGCATGATCTAGCCATCAAGTACTCCAAGGAAATTAATGGAGAGACACAGGGAAGGAGGCAAGGACAGAGAGGAGATCAGTCTTACGGGTTGAAGCTTTTTCTGGTGTTGACAGTGAGA